GCGCCAATCTGATGAAAAGTTAATGTATATATTGGATCGATGTGTAGTGACAGCAGCTACCTTTGCTGCATTATTTATTTTGTGCAAGGGCATATTTTCAGTAATTTTTTACTTTAAATTTTGAATGGTCAGCATTATAACAGTGAATTACTAACGATGGAGTAATTGAAAAACGTATCGCGAAATACTGAATGTTTCTTTGCTGATGAGCCTACATCTAAACCAGAATATTGTATGACTGACTGATCTAATCCAGCATCTTGCCATCTTTAAGGCAAATAAGTTTTTCTTGCACACAGATCTCTGGCTCTCTCTGTTTTTCCTTTTGAGTTCTTAATTAGACAGTGTTATATTGCATATGGTATCCTCTATCCTTTTCCTTCCAGTATATTATGTTTCTTAATTAGCTCAAATTGATCGATGAGTGCAGTCTTTTATAGGGAATTTACGAGAAAAAGAAGATTCAAAGGTGTGTTATTCATTTCAGTGAGTTTTGCGTTTCCTATAAAACATGCACTAATGATATACCATAGAGTTTCTGGACTCGCTTTTTATAAATAAAAAAAAGAAAGAAAAAGAAATGACTTTAAAAAATAATTTCAGTACCCAAAAAGAAAAAAGAATAATCGCAGTATGATGCATCTTGTTTGCATAACATTGAGTTGGGCAAAAAAATTCTAACAAACATCAGACGTTAACTCTTTTTATGTCTATCTAGTAGAATTGGTGCCACCAATCATGTGGAACAATGTTGTCTATTCCATTCATTAGTGCTTCCAAGTAGTCACTGCTATCTGCGTTAAGATCTGAGAAGTCACTGTTATCTGCGTTAAGATCAGCTTCAGCACAATATTGCTCCTGAATTCCAGGGAAGGATAATTGACCATATGCTTCTTCTTGCCCGCAGGCTGTTGTATTTGCTTCTTCTGTCATCATGTACACTCTGTTAGTGATGGCTCCATGATTCTCCAATGTAGCTTCATCTGTATCATAAGCGGTCAAAATATGGCTATTTTTGTTAAGTCCTCTCAAATAATCATCATGTTCATGTTCAATGTTCATAATCTGATGTTGTTGGCAATTGTTGCTGACTGTGTACTGTTGTAGTCAGGTTCACGCAACATATCTTCTATTACTTGAGCAACTTCTTGTTCCTCTATAGTTACCCCATTCTTCATAATTCTCTTTGTTATAATATTCTTCTTGATTCGGCAGAGAACAATATCTTGTTTAGAAATATTATTTTCCCTGAAGTAATCATCCCCCACGTAATATTCTCTCATCAGCCAATTAATCTTATCTTGCTTTGATTGTTTACTACCCCTAGTTCGATAAACAAAACTTTTTCTGAATCCCACCACAGTGCCCTTACCATTCTTGATAGGATCGCCGCTGTTTTGGCCTTTCCATGTCCAGTTGGCGCAAGTTCGGCGAAACCTTTTGTGTGATTCCTTCCGCTTCTTCAAAGGAGAAATAAAGCAACCAATTTTCTCTTCGGGATGATCAGAAATCTCCCAGGGTGGCCGGTCTCCATAGATTTCTGCAATCGAATAAGGCATTCACTAGGCAAAGAGTTACCCTTTAAGAACTTTCTCAGAAAGTAGATTAACTTCGCATAAGTTGGGTAAAATCAAACACTGAGAAGCCATGATACCATCGGCATGCCGGTCTTTGATTTGCTATTATGAATAAAGAAATTACAACAAGAATCGCAAGAAAAAAAAACCCTTCAATGATCGATGATCTGCAACTGTTCTTGACTTTTCAGTGAAAAATACAGAGAGAACTAAGAATTGGAGTATGTGAAAGAAAAATTTAAATTCGCAATGAAAACAGAGAGAGGAAAGAATTACTCCTATTAAATTAGGAAGAACCCGAACAAATACAATGGCGATAGCCGATAGCTAATGTTTAGGTTCTTTATAAAGAGCTTATTAGGTTTCTTAAAAAATTGCACGCGGAGGACTAATTTTTTAGGAAAATAAGGAAAGTATTATTTGTTTGTACAAAGCTGGGGTATTAGGGAAGAACAGACGTGTTGCTTTTGGCGGGAAGCTTTTTTCTTTCTTTTCATTTTGGTTACACTTGGGAGTCAAGTTATTTAACTTCTTTTTTTCAAATCGGAATTTATTTACTTTAACTTTGTTCTACTCCTGTCAAATACAACTAAATTAAAAATTACAGAAGAAAGTTCCAAGTTACTTTTCTAATTGAACATTATTTTAACAGAAGAAAAGGAAAATTAATTTGCTTTCCCATTTTTCTCGTTTGGATAAGCATTTAAATTTTATTTAATTTAAATTAATAAAATAATTTGGACAAGATTATAAATTTTAGATACATTATTCCAAATAAATAAGATGTGCTAATATAATTAGATTAATCATTTAACCCCAACACATATCGGTTTAATAAAGGTCTAATTTCATTGGACTGGTGCATTTAATTGGTCTACATATGATGAACCCAATGTGTTAGTACGAGACGTCAAGCCCAAATTTGTGATACATGTCAAATAATATGACGGCTAAGTTAAATGAATGAGCCAATATAATCAAACTACATGCCAAATGACATGGTATGCCATCCCAAATCAAACGAGTAATAAAAAGTGCCACGTGTGCAACTGACATATTCCAGCCAATCAAATTCGACATTATCGCTATGTCAATCTGATTGGTCGAAAAAGAATTTTGTCCTTATCATAATTCCTCTTTTGCCACATTATAAATAAAGGTCTCCATTACTAAGTGACAAGATAATAATTCTTATCGAGAAAAAAAGGAGAGCTCGTAAATCAAAGGCTACTGATTTCTCCGCAAGTTGCAAGTGTGCGACCATTTTCCTAGAAATTTCAAGCAGTCGAAGATCAACAAGGGTGTTCAAGATTAAAGTTACATGTTTGTACGAAAACTGTTGGTCATGGCGACCATCAAAGAGCACGTGACGAATAAATCAAATCCACATTCGAATTTATATATAATAAAAATTCAAGATCAACTTTCAAGCCTTTGAATTTAAATACAAGTCAAAATTAAGTCGATCAAATTCAAGATCAAGCTCAAAGATTTGAATTTATTTATGAAGAAAAGAATCGAAAGAATAATACAGATTAAAACATTAACTATACTTGAATCAATATTAGCTGGAGCTGGTAAAAATAAAATAAAACTCCCAGTCACTCTATTAATTTTATGTCATATTGTCATGTGGCACGAATCAACATCACATGGGCCTCTCCTCGAAGCCTATTAACGGAATTAAGAAGGAAATTTTATCTCCTATAGCAAACTATTACACCCTATTTATTATAGCCAAAGCAATTTCAAAATATTATTACTTATAGTTATATTTTCTATTTTATAGCAATGGGTATTTATTTTATACCCTACCATTAAGGTGTGAAATACGCCAGTTATATTCTCTCTCTCTCTCTCTCTCTCTCTCTCTCTCTCTCTCTCCATCGGCAAGATTCTCAATCCTCTTTATTCTCCCTCAAATCTCTCTCCCTTTTCCATCAAGGCAGCCGTCGTAGCAGCCATTTTTGATAGCGATGGTGGACTTTCTGAAGCGAAGAGAATAGATCTGAAGCAGGGAGAATAGATCTGAAGCGAAAAGGGAGTAGGCGAACATATCTAGACATGGCTACGGATTGAGCTTTTGGAAATCTGAAGCAGAGTCGCCGGAGAAGATTTGAGGGCCGGGTTTTAGTTCGTCTCCATTTTTAGTTTTAAGACAATATATACAGTATTTTGCTTGGCCGGAAAACCTCATCTCCGATGAACTTTCTTATCTTTGCTATTATGTCACATACAATGATACAAATACATTGTATTTTGTACAAATACACTAAAATATGTTGAACTTTTGTATAAATATATTATATTTTAACCTGTATTTATGTATTCCAAACGTCTATATTTTTTGAATACAACCGAATATCGATGTTTTTGTGATTTTTTATTGTTTAAATACAATCGAACTGAATACTGTGAATATCAGTGAATTGAATACAATGTATACAGTCGAAATGAATAGAACGGTATACACCCTATTTTTTTTTTTGATTTTTTGTTGTTTAAATACAACTAAATTTAATATAGTGAAATTGAATACACCCGTAATCACTATTTTTAGGCGGATTACCTCACTGTATTTAGAAATACATTCGCGCGAATACATGAAATACAGAATTAAACAGCTGTAATCCCTGATTTTTAGGCGGATTATCTTACTGTATTTATAAATAAAGTCGTGCAAATACATGGAATACAGAATTAAACAGCTGTTATCCCTATTTTTAGGCGGGTTACCTCGTTGTATTTATAAATAAAGTCGTGCGGATACATGGAATATAGCACAGTAGCAACGAATATTTTTGTAGAATTGATTTTATTAAGTTAAATTAGGAGTGATACACGCTAATTGATCCTCTTTCCATTATTAAACAACTGGACACCCTACTTATTAAGCAAATTCCGCGACTATATTCATGAATACAATAGCGTGAATACATCGAATACAGTCCGATAGGAATGAAATATTAGCTACAGGAAGTAAATATGTATATGGTAGCTATAGAAATATAATAGCGGCCACTAAACTATAGTGGTTTCTGAAAATTGCTCAATTAAGAAGAGATTTTTATACACTTTTTACTACATTTCCTTTTCCTTCACTCTTCCATAATTTCTTTTTTCTCTTCCATAAATAACACTTACCCAAATATATCAAAGATTCTGAAAGAAGAATATCTCAAAAATAATTCCCTGTGCAAAATGAGAATTTTAGTATTTTTTTTTGAGTTCTAAACTTTTTTCCGTACAATTTTATTTTAACTCAAAATATACCTTTAATATATTTCAAGTATATTATATTGCGATAATTTACAATGTAATTATTCCATCAATATGTCATATATATTTTTTATATGTATTTATACCACATATTTAACTTATATATATACATCATAATACATAATTATATTGATATTATTCAAAGTATATTGCTAGCAAATACTTTACATAAAATGTAATCTAAAGTATTAACATGCCACTAATATGTATATAGAAAAAAAATATGTCACATATATTGTTTATATACGGATAATTTATACAAATATGCATGTTATATAAATGGTATATTCATAATATCTATTTAAATATAAATAAGTGTATAAATAACATATGCATATATACATGATTTTTCCTAAAAAACATATGATTTATAATATACCACAAAAATACATTATATTTTTTCACGAAATATATGTATTTTATTTCATTAGAAGATACAGATATATAATTTTGCTAGGATTAAGTTGAATAAAAAGGTCCATGTATGAAAAGGAAAAAATCTATTATGGAATGGATCGATGATATATTAAGGGCCAAATATATCCTTGTACTATGAGAAAATATTTAAATATACCCCTCGTTATACTTTGGGTCCAAATATATCCTTGTTGTAATAGTATTGGTTCAAATATAATCCTTTCTGTTAAGTTTGTCCAATGTGGACATTCAATCCTACGTGACATTTACATTTAAAGAGTGGATGACACGTGTCATGCCACCTTAGAGTCCCTGACCCATTTTACGCCTTCCCTCTATTTGTTATTCCACCACTAAAATTTTCTTCCATGGACAAAATTGAATTTCACTCTAATGGTGATATTGGAAGCGTCTGATAAGATAAGTGGCAGAATAACGAAGGAGGCATTCAACGGAGTCGGAGGAATTCGACGGAGTAATGGTGGAACTCTTCTGTCTGGGAACTTGCCCTTCACTCTAAAATCCGTACTTGCTTCTCTGATTACAGTAATGCCCGTTACAATATTTATGATCACAGGTTCGTAGTAACATCTTTAAAGAAAATATATGAATTGTAAAATGTTCAATTTTGAATCTTTTTATTGTGTAGTGGTGTAGATAATGATTGTGTGTCTTTGTTTATGTTATGTTCTTGGCAGTGATAGTGATAGTTTGTTGTTTATTTATTTATTTTATTATTTTTTATCGTGAAATTACAGTAGGAAGATATTTCCGAGTGGAGTAGCGGCAGACTCGTACAAGAAAGCAGTGGGCTCGGCGATTCAAAAACTCCGAAGTCAAGAAGGAATTAACAACCATGAATCCTCTGCTAAAACGCTATTTTTGGTACTTAAATGACGCTTTGTTTTTGGTACTTTTTTTAACAGAATTTTTGCAATAATATTTTATTGTTATTTTGGATTTTGTTGCAATACTCCAAAAACATCAAAAGAGCTAGCGAATGACTTCATTCTCCATGACTTTGGAATGGCAGGTCAATTTTTCAATTTTCAAAGCAACTAGCAGTGTAATTATATTGAATCTAATGTGAGCATGGAGAAAAAAACATATATAAAAGACTAAACTTTGAATACAATACTGTTTAGGGTGACGGTAACGACGACAATGGTAGAAGAGGGGAAAACAATTTTAGTGGTGGAAAACAAAAATAGAAGGGAGGGATAAAATAGGTTAGGGGCGCTGAGGTGGCATGCCACGTGGCATCCACATCATAAAATGTCAGTGCCACGTAGGATTGGATGTCCACTTTAGACAGACTTAACGGAAGATGGGTATATTTAAACCAATAGTATAACGATAGGGATATATTTGGACCCAAAGTATAATGAATGGTATATTTAAACCTTTTCTCATTGTACAGAGATATATTTGGCCCTTTTTCGTATTAAATATAAAGCCTATATAAACAACATATGCATATATATATGAAATTTCCTAAAAAATACATGATTTATAATGTATATATACCAAACATACATTATATTTTTTCATG